TGTGTGTGTGTGTGCGTGAATTGTTTCGATTTCCCCGCCGCTCACACACAGTCACTCTGTGCATCTTCGTAGTTCACTGTTTCGTGTTAAACCTTTATTCTCTCTTTGTGCGTCTGTGTGTGTGTGTGTGTGTGTGTGTGTTTGCGCGGTTAGTACGGCGGCACACAGGGCTCTGCGGAAGGAGTTCGGTAGAAAGGGGGAGGAGGGCGGAGATAAAGCAGCGAGCCGGGCATCGTGCTCCTCCGCGAACACGGGCTGCATGGTGCACGGAGCATCCTGAGTGACCGCCGACAGACACACAGAGCACGTACCAAGCGCGCGCCCACACATGCGCAAGACATTTGTGTCCCGTGGAGGATTTCAGGCGCCGCGGACGATGGTGTTTCGGCACGACCCACCGCCGGAGCAGGCGCCCGCCAGGCACAGCGCTGCTGCAGCTGCTGTTCCAGCCACGCCGATGGACGCGGCGCCAAACAAACGGCCACGCCTCGAGCCATCACCGCGGGGCAGACTATCGGTGTCTGCGGTGCACACTCCCGAGCTTTCGCTGCCGCCGCCGCCGCACGCAGAAGTGCTGCAATCATGTGAAGTACAGAAGCTGCACAACACGGAGGAGGTTAACGCGCCGCGTGTTTTTCTCCACACGACGCACCACCACACTCCATTGCAACCGATGATCGGGGTATCGGAAGGGGAGGAGGTTCTGTTCGAGAGCCAGGAGATTCTGCAGCGCGAGGTGGAGGAGGACCTACGACTCTCAGAAGACCTCGCTTTCACGCCCAGCAAAACAACGGCCACATCGACAACAGCAGGGCACATGTCTCCACCCTTTGCGCTGACGCAGCCGGTGCAGGAGGAGGAGGAGGAGGGGAAGAAGGAGGGTAGGGTCGCCATGGAGAGTAATGCCCAGCCTGCTGGAGTGCTGTTTGACGGCGTTGAAGGCGGGTACGGTAACAGCAGCAGCGGCTATCCGGCGCCGATGCCGGCGCTCGCACCTGCTCCTGTGGTGAATAGCAGTGGTGTCTTCTATGATCTTCCTCAGAGCGTACAGACATTCTTTGAGACTCGGCGCGGCATCAAGAAGTTGTACCCGTGGCAGCATGAAGTTCTCATGCGGGATGACGTACGCGGCGGTGGAAGTTTAGTTTACAGCCAGCCGACGAGCGGAGGCAAGACATTAGTTGCTGAAATCTCGCTTCTTCGATGCCTTTTAAATCGCCAAAAGTCGTGTTTTTTCGTTCTCCCGTTTGTGTCGCTGGCAGAGGAGAAGACAGAGGCGCTGCGGCCCCTCGGCGATGCGTTGGGTTACGCCGTGGACGGCCACTACGGTACACAGGGGAGGCTCCCCCTTCCCAGGCGCACGGCGGTGTACGTGTGCACACTTGAGAAGGCAAACTCTGTGCTTAATCACATGCTAGATGAGGGCCTCATAGGAGGACTCGGTGCTGTCGTCGTAGATGAGCTCCACATGCTTGGCGAGTCGCGTCGCGGCGCGACGTTGGAGCTGTTTCTGTCAAAGCTGCTGTGCTTTCCCAACAAGGTGCAGATCATTGGGATGAGCGCCACAATTCCAAACCTGCCAAACATTGCGACGTGGCTGCGCGCTAGCTGCTATGTGGGGACATACCGCCCTGTTCCACTGCGGCAGCATGCTGTTGTGGAAGGCATGGTGATGCTGGAAGGCAATCGGAATGAGCGCAACCTCGTCGCCGCTGGGTGCACCACAGAGTCAGAGCAGTTGCTGCTCCTGGCGACGGAGGTGGAAAAGGCATCGGTGCTGATTTTTTGCGCGAGTCGGCAGCAGTGCGTTGACACGGCACGCCTCATTGCACGGCACCGAAGTGACGCACGGAATGGCTACAACACCAGCACGAACGACGCCTCTGCCATCGCGGCTCTCCTGGCGGATCTTAGCTCCCTCGACCATGACGCATCGCAGCTGAGCTATCTGATCCCGCACGGCGTCGCTTTCCACCACGGCGGCCTTCTCGGGGAGGAGCGGGAGCTGATTGAGCGGGCGTACCGCCAGCGGCTCATCACTATTCTCTGCTGCACCTCCACACTTGCTGCTGGGGTTAATCTGCCAGCGCGACGCGTAATCTTCAAAACACCGTACGTTGGCCGCGACTTCTTGACAAAGTCCCGTTACCTGCAGATGTGCGGACGCGCTGGCCGTGCTGGTCTGGATGAGTTTGGTGAGTCGTTCTTGCTTCTGCCTCGCAGGGATTGTATGAAAGGACGCGCATTGATGCAGCAGGATGTGGAGCCTTGCTTAAGCCAAATGCTGGAGGAGGCGAGCGCATTTGAACGGTGTGTATTGGAGTGCATTGCGGTCGGTGTCATTCGCAGCCTCAGCGACGCCCACCGGTGGATGGGGAATCTCTTGTGTCACCACGCAGCGGGGCCGTTTGATGCATCGTACAATGTGGTGTCAAGGCCATTGCCGGTGGTACTGGACGACATTTTGCAGTCGGCGCTTAGGCAGCTGGAGCATAGTGGGTTGGTGCAGCGGGTTCCACGGCAGACAGGTGACGGGGGCGGTGTAGCCACACATCCTACGACTCACAGCAACGACGGTGGCGGGGAGAACAACAATAGCAACAAGAACAACAACAAGAGCGCTAACAACAACACGGACGAAACGGTCTCACTGTCGGCTACACCGTTTGGCACCTGCTCGGTGCGGTCGTGCTTTAGCATTGAGGAGGCCCTCTTGGTGCGCGAGGAGCTGGAGCACATGCAGCGCACCGGCCTTATTCTCGTCGACGATCTCCACCTGTGCTACTACCTCACGCCGCTGCGGGAGATTGGGGACTGCAATTGGTCAGTGTACCGCGACGCGCTCTCACAGCTGAGCGACACCCGCCAGCGCATTGCAAACATGATTGGCGTAGACGAGTTTTTCGTTCATCAGCGCGCTATGGGGCTTGGCGACCCTGCTGGAAACAGCAACAGCCAGTTGTTCAGAACGCGCCGCTTCTTTGTGGCCATGATGCTCGCCGACCTCCTCAGCGAGGTGCCAATGTCTGTGCTGGAGCACCGCTACCAGTGTAACCGTGGACAGCTCCAGAGCCTCATGCGCAGCGCATCCATGTTCAGCAGCTCCATCACGAGTTTCTGCCGTGCCATGGAGTGGTTCTCGCTCGAGGCGGTGCTGGCGTCGTACGTGAAGAGGCTCGGCTTCGGCGTGAAGCCTGACATTGTGCCGCTGATGGAGCTACGCGGCGTGCAGCCGGGGCGTGCGCGGGCCCTGTGGGTCGCAGGCTTCAAGGACCCCGCAGCGATCGCGGCATGCAACCCGGAGGAGTTGGTCAGGCGTGTGAAGGCCTCCAACCCGCCCGATAACAAGACGGTGAAGTTTTTCTCCTTGCGCAGCGCCATCAGCCTGGTGCGCCAGGCGAACGTTTTGCTGCAGCAGACGATACTCGAGAAGAAGGGGGAGCTGCTGGAGCTGACGCACTGCTCACGGGTGCCCCAATGAGGGAGGCAAGGCGTGGAGGTTGGGAGGCGGGGAGTGTGGCGTCACAGGTGTCTGCTGCGATCCAATGTTGTACGCGTTGCTTATTATTTTCTGTGGCCATTTGGTGCTCATTTCTCTTTATTTTGCGTGCTGCTCCTGCTCCATGGCTGCTGTCCGCCATGGGTACTTCGTTTATATTTTATTATTTTTTCTTTACTTCGCTTTATTCTATCTGTGCGTGTGGGTGTGCTTGCTCCCCTACACGCTCCGCGGAAGGGCTATCAATAGAGGTGGGAGTTGGCAGAGGCGATGCTGCTGGTGGCAGCGCTGCTCTTCGTGTTTGGTGTGGCCGTCGCGTCGGTGCTGGTTGAGGCGTCGCAGGGCTGCCGGTGCTACGTGCACGCCAGCGTTGCTGTCGCTCTTCTCCCACTAGCGGCGCTCGTGACACTCGGCTTCGGCCTGCTTGCGCAGAAATTGGTGGAGTACATCCACGATGTGGCGCAGAGCGGCGTGCTGCCCCCGTTCCTCTCCTACGCGGCGCTGCGAGCGCGGCCCATCGAGGGCCAGTCGGTGACGCTCCTCGACATTCAGCTCGTTGCAATCCTGCTGCTGCTGAGCTACGCAGCAACAGTGGTACTGCGACGTTTAGTGGATATTGTGCGCTTGCTGAAAATATCGCGCCGGCGTCTCGTCATGAAGTAAAACAGCAGCAGCATGGTGGGGGGCACGAAGGGGGCCTTTGTGGGTGCCTCCCCCCCCCGCCACACAAGAGGGGGCTGTGTTTCTCGCCCACGGCGTTGCGTGTATTACGTGCATTTGCCGAACTGTTTCACGACTGGCATCTCTTGATGCTTCCTGTGGCGAAAATGATATTCTGTCTTCGTTCTCCTCCGTCTTCTCCTTCTTTCACTCCGCAACGCGAAACATTCCCCGCTTACTCTCAGTGACACATAACACCAATGCAGGAAAGAGAGGTGGAGCTCTTCGGTGGCGCCATCACGTGCGCCCTCCCCACCACTGCGGTCGACGTGAGCGAGTTCCGTCAGGTGCCCGACACGCAGGAGGTGTACGCAGAGGCGGAGACAGGCATGTGCATCATCGTCGAGCTGTTGTCGCGCCAGCGTGAGTTGAGTGACGCGGACTGTGGCGAGTTCTTCTACAAGGACCTTGCACACGCAAACGGCTGCGTTCACGGTGACTACACCATCCAGCAGCAGCGCCAGCTCGTCTCCTCTGAATACCCGCACGTCTCGCAGCTTCCACCAGAGGCCGCGCCGCAGCAGCAACTCCGGCGGGACGTGTACGGATGCCTCGTCTGCGGCCTGCAGCGTGTTTCTAAGTACACGAACGAGAAGGGCAAGGAGAACGACGTGCTGGTTGCACTGGCAGTTCTGCGCCTTCCCCCACCCATTTCTACCGACGTGCTGCTCTCCATCTCCGCCCCGCAGCGTATTCACCCGGAAAGCAGCGAGGCGCATGTGGTGCAGCGGCTGCGTGGCGAGGCGGAGGTGTTGGCGCTGCTGCAGAGAATGCTGCTGACGCTCAACGTGAGGAACTGGGGCTTATTTGTGCCAGAGGACTGAGCGAGCAAACGAGAGAGAGAGACTTGTAAAAAGGTCGATACGTCATTCATTTAACTCCGTACTACCCTCTCTTTCTTGTGTTGTGCTTTCCTTCGGCAGCAGCTGCTGCTGCTGCTGCTTCTCTTCTTTCCCTCACTTCCCATCTCTCCCTCTGTGTGTCTGCGTGTGCCTGTGCTCCACGTCCTGTGCGCCGCCAGGGCACCAGAGGCAACAAGCAAAGGAATCAACATCCGAAGAGACATACACACAGCCATGCTGCGCAAGATCGCCCAGCCGTACAAAGTGGCCATCCGCCGCTGCACCTCCACTGCGCCGGAGGCCAACTCCAGCAAGGCGATCCTGCGCCTGATCCGGTTCGACCCTGCCACGAACAAGCAGCGGGTGGAGAGCTACGAATACGACAAGCACCACGACTACATGGTGCTCGACCTCATCACGGCGGTGAAGGCACACCAGGACCCCACGCTGGCCTTCCGCGCGTCGTGCTGCGAGGGCGTCTGCGGAAGTTGCGCGATGAATATTAATGGCATTAACAGCCTCGCCTGCATCACGTTTTCGCAGCAGGTGACGACGGTCGGACCGCTGCCGAACTTTCCCGTCATTAAGGACTTCGTCGTTGACCTGCGCCACTTCTTCCGGCAGTACGCGTACATCCGCCCCTTCGTGCGCAACTCGAACCTCGACCGCAGCCGCGTAGACAATATCATGGATCGCTACAACACGATCAGCAAGACGATTCATGGCGTTAGCCCGCGTGAGGAGGCGCTGCAGACGGAGCTGCCGTCGCACGGCGGCGTGCAGACGGAGGTAGTAGGGATGCTGCGCCTCCTCGACGCGCTGTGCGAGGCGGGCGACGTGACGCACATCGTGTGCACGCTGGGCGAGCTGGAGGCGAGGGGCGTGCAGCTCGACCAGGAGAAGGTGAAGGTGCTCCTCGAGACGGCGCTGCAGAACTACGGCAAGAAGCAAGGCGCCGCGTAGAAGGAATGAGGAAGAAGAAAAGGGAAACGGGAAAGCAACACGACCAAAAAACAAACAAACAAAAAGGAATGGTGTCGAGTACTGTGCGTCACATTGCGAACCACCTTTTTTTTTCGTGTGTATGTGTGTGTGTGTGTGTGTGTGTGTGT